AACTAAATAAAATGGCCATGTGGAAGTAGTTTGAATGGTACAGAATCATATAAGAGGGATTATAATAACCATTGTGCCATTGGGATTAAATGAAAGGGCTGCCTCATAAGTCAATAAAGAAAAGAATGGTACATCTTTGACTGAGATTTAACTAGAAAATAAAATATACCTATCCAATACACTATCAATTGAATTATTTAGACCTTTTCCTTTATGCACTTATTCTGAAAAACATCTTTGTAATTACATATCTACAATTGAATCATGGTTATACCAACAATTCAAGTGTAGATAAGAAACTAGTACTTGTAGAATTGAATTTACGAGGATGCATTAGTAGTTTTTGCTACAACTTAAAATTCTTTCTTCAACATAACTTTGCAGTTCACTTTACCACCTTCAACTTTCTGTTCCAATTTGACTTTCTGTCCCAAAAAGAATTCGCCAGTCTTGATGAAATTCACCTTTCTTTTTGGAATATAATTCTGAAGCTGTCCATCCTCAGCTGCACAGTCCATTATACAGTCACATAGATAAAAGGCCTGTTGAAGCGTGCCTGGCAAACAGGGAGATCCTTTTTTCACTAGTTTAAGCAACAACTTGTCCAGCCTTTGAGCAGTATCATAAATTGATAAAGGGTTGTATGCAATTACATCAGTGGCAGCACCTTTCTTCATTAATGGTACAAGACTAGCCAATTTCTCAACCTTTTCTATTATGGAAGCACTGGTCTGTTTGCTTGTCCAAAACGTTTCCATATGCTTACTTCCCAAGAGATGCGACAACATTACTCCATGAGATAAATATTCGGTAGGACACAATGTACAGGCAAATTTTTCACCGTTTTCTGAAAAGTTAAGGTACTTTGACTCAAGATAAAAGTACTCCTCTATAACGCGTAAAACATTACTTCTTGCTTCATTTGCTTGCTTGCTTATTGCTCTGTGGTGCACTGGTTTACTGACACTTGCATTCGATGTGTCAGATACAGATACTTCACTTTTCACATAACATGAAAGAAGGTTCTCCTTCGACTCCTTCATAATGTCTCCAGAATGAAAACAAGAAGATGGTTTTGCTTCAACTTTTTCTGGATTGGAATAAGAACTACAGTTTTCATGCCCAAATTCATTTCCTGCAACATGACTTCTTCCATATTCCTTCTTAATTTGAAGGGAAGGTGGAGACTTACCCTCCTCCTTGAAGTTCAAATGGCATGTGTGATTGTTGTTTACTTCAACTTTGACGTTCGGGGAAATTCCAGGGACAAGAACCCCATTAGACTCTTTGGACGGGTCAGTCGTCGTGTCACGAACTCGTTCGCACTGACTACCTACAGTTACTTTCGTCGTTTTCATGGTAGTGCCACAAATGGGACGCGAAACGCTCGTTCAAATATCAACACTGTAACGATATTCATTTTCCAGATTAGATTTCTAACATGTTTCCTCAGGGACATTCGGGTGGATACCAGATAGATCTACGTATTGGTACCTATACCACAGCATTTATGGAAGTTGATTTCGAAATACCTTGATGGGTCCTGTATGAACTGTATTTCTATGAAATAGAATCACTGCGGGTCACCAAGAGAGTCACAACTCCCAACAACCGGTTCATACCGTGTCGCGAGTTTGCTTGCCGTGAGGCCGCATGCACGACGTTGACGTCTGTCTGCCCCCCCC